CCCGGGTGGTGTGAAACCTCATCGCGCCTTTTGTTTCTAAATGTTTAAATGAGAGAAACAAGCGGCGCGCGGAGCCTTCCCCAGAGCGCGGCGCCCGGGCAGGGCAGGGCTGGGCAGGGCCCGCAGCGGGATGCGCCCGTGGACTGCAGCCGGCCAGACTGGTCTGTTTCTACAACCCAAGCGGAGACCTGAGGATTAATCAGCAGCCCACGGGGGCCAAGCTAAGTTGGGTTTTAAACTCTTTGGTGCCTGTAATAACTCAGGTGAGTCTGTTCTTGTGAGCTGTAATTTTTCATTCGACGGACAGCGTCCCTGGACACAACAGCCACAGAGCCAGGTCCAAACGCACCCCGCACCCGGGCAGCAGGACCAAGCTAACCCAGCTCCTGGTTGCTCCAGTTCCCAAACGCCCATCTTCCCCCGGCACAACAGCCACAGAGCCAGGTCCAAACGCACCCCGCACCCGGGCAGCAGGACCAAGCTAACCCAGCTCCTGGTTGCTCCAGTTCCCAAACGCCCATCTTCCCCCGGCGCGGCAGACTCACCGGGGACAAACGAAGCCGTCTCGTCGATCCCTGCCACGTGCATGCGGCAGTGCTCCCCTCTCCCCCCGTGCCCAAGAGCAGCCCGGGCATCGCAGGACGGGACGTGGCTGGTGTGGCTGGCACGGCGCGGTCCCCGTGCCAGCAGGTGCTGGGCTCGTGGCTCACAGCGGTCTCCTTGGCTTCCCCGAGGCAGGGGATCGGCTTCCCCGTGGGGTTCTGAAGCGTGGGGTTACCGCTGCCAGGAGCAAGGAATCAGCTTTCTTCTCGCCCTGCTCGCCCTGCTCCCCTTCCCCCCGGCACCAGGCGGCAGAAGGATGTGTCAGCTGAAGGCTGAGTCTAAAGAGGCTTACGCTGACTATTTACCTTCGCAAGGGTCTATTTTCGGCTGCTCAGCTGCAGCTAATTCAACGCGCAGGGCAGCGACTTGGGAGAGAAGCCACATGAGGGTCATTGTCTCCGGGATCCCCTTTGCTCCTTCGCAGGGGCCAGAAGCCTCGCTTCGTTTTTGTTCCTTTTGGCACAGAGCGTCACAAAGGAAAAGGGGATCTCGGGGACAAGGGGATCTCGGGGACAAGTCAAGGAGCTCGGAGCCCTGCGGCCCTGTCCAGTGCTCGACTTGGTGCCTTTCTTTCACTGCAGAGGACTCCCAAGGTCGCTCCTGACCCGAGCCCAGCTGTGGCCAGAGGGCTCCGGGTTGGCTCCACACCCTCTCCTGTCCCCGCACCTCCCACCCGAAACCAGCTCGGAAGCCTGTGGATATCCAGCATGAATTTAATAACGGCACCGGGAGGTAACAAACAGGCCAAGACTGGAGTCACATCACCCGGGATGTGAGCGCTGCTGGTAAGCAGGGAGCAGCCGGGCGGTCAGCAATGCCTCTTCACTTCTCTGACCGCTGCGGAGCGGTGCACGAGAGGAGCTCGGGGAGCTCCCGACGGGGAGCACAAGGGCCCCGGTTGTAGAAAGACACCTGAGATCTCCCGCGGGCAGTGGGACCGCAGGGGACAGCAGGCACAGAGAGCAGGCTGAGGGGCGGCGGGCATGCTGGTCCCGGCAACGCGCTCCCACGCTGCTGAGCAACGCTTCAAAGAGCAAAACAGCTTTTTCCACGTGCTGGAAAACCGCAGAGCAGAGTCTTTAACTAAACAAATCCTGAGTGATTTCCACATTGCTGAACGACATTGTAATAGTGGAAAAATAATGCGAAAAATGATCTACTTCATCTCTTCCCATTGTCTCTTTCTGTCTGGGAATGACTGCTGCAGCAGAACCAGCTCCGCATCTCCT